TTATCCGAGCATGCAGCCCGGCAGGTCAGGAAAGGGGGATGAGCCAGCACCCCCCCCCTCCTGAACCATACCAGGCCACATGCCCTCAACATGGGGGGGTGCTTTGGAGCAGGGGGGCTCCCCCCCAAAGTACCTTGTCCCCATGTTGATGGGGACAAGGGCCTCTTCCCCACAACCCTGGCCGGTGGTTGTGGGGGTCTGCAGGTGGGGGGCTTATCAGAATCTGGAAGCCCCCTTTAACAAGGGGGCCCCCAGATTCCTCCCCCCCTACGTGAATGAGTATGGGGTACATGGTACCGCTACTAATTCACAAAAAAAACTAAAAGTGTAGTGTAAAAAAATACAGGACACAGTCCCCCGAAGTAGATCCAACATCAATCACGGTGTAAGGTGCCGGAGACCCAAAAAAAGAAAAAAAAAATGGTTTCCGACAATGGCTGCCCAGCCTTCTGCTGTGGGCTTGGGTGACAGTTCTTAAATATATAAGGGCGGGGACACCCGGGGACATCATCCGAGTGACCCCGCCCCATGTGACATCATTGATGTCAGATGGGGTGGGATCACATGCGTGATGTCCCTGGCTGGCCCCGCCCCTTACATATTTAAGAACTGTCACCCAAGCTCAGAGCAGAAGGCTGGACAGCCATCGTCGGGAAAGGAACCTTTTTTTTTTTTTTTTCTTTTTTCGGGTCGCCTGCGCCTTACACCGTGATTGGCGCTGGATCTACTTCAGGGGGACATTATTTTAGATTTTTCTTTTATTAAAGGACTTGTCAAAGACCATGTCCTGTGTTTGTTTACACTACACATTTTGTTTTTTTTTTTGTGAATTAGTAGCAGTACCATGTACCCCATACTCATTCACATGAAGGGGGCCGGGATCTGGGGGACCCCTTGTTAAAGGGGGCTTCCAGATTATGATAAGCCCCCCACCCGCAGACCCCACAACCACCGGCCACGGTTGTGGGGAAGAGGCCCTTGTCCCCATCAACATGGGGACAAGGTGCTTTGTGGGGAGACCCCTGCCCCAAAGCACCCCCCCATGTTGAGGGCATGTGGCCTGGTATGGTTCAGGAGGGGGGGTGCTCGCTCATCCCCCCCCTTTCCTGACCTGCCGGGCTGCATGCTCGGATAAGGGTCTGGTATGGGTTTTGGGGGGACCCTATGCCATTTTCATTAAATTTTGGCATGGAAGTTCCCCTCTAAATCCATACCAGATCCAAAGTGGGGCCGACAGATGAAACATGAACGCTGCATTGGTTTTCACTACTAAAACGAGGCATAACTTGATAAAATAACTCATGCGGTATTTTAGTAGTGACAACCATGTGTTAATGTTTCAGCGGAGTTCCCCAGTGACAGATGAATGTTAAAGAATTTCCTTAAATTAAATAAATACTAAAAAAAAAAATGGCGTGGGGTCCCTCCCTCCAATCCATACCAAGCTCTTCGGGTCTGGTATGAATCTTAAGGGGTAACTCCACGCCAAAATTTTTTAAAAAAAGGTGTGGGGTCCACCCCAAAATCCATACCAGACCCTTATCCAAGCATGCAGTATGCAGCATGCAATGATGTCACATGGGGCAGGGTCACTCGGATGATGTCCCTAGGAGGCCCCGCCCCTTACATATTTAAGAACTGTCACCCAAGCTCACAGCAGAAGGCTGAGCAACCATCATCGGGAGCGGAATCTTTTTTTTTTTTCTTTTTTCGAGTCGCCGGCATCCCACACCATGATTGACGTTGGATCTACTTCGGGGAAACATTATTTTAGATTTTTCTTTTATTAAAGGTCTTGTCAAAGACCGTGTCCTGTGTTTTTTTTACACAACACGTTGGGTTTTTTTGTGAATTAGTAGCGGTACCATGTACCTCATACTCATTCACCTGGGGGGGTGGGGGGGGATCCTTGTTAAAGGGGCCTCCAGATTCTGATAAGCCCCCTGCCCGCAGATCCCCACAACCAAAAGCCAGGGTTGTGAGGAAGAGGCCCTTGTCCCCATCAACATGGGGACAAGGTGCTTTGGGGGATTGAGCCCCCCTGCAACAAAGCACCCCACCCATGTGGGGTGGCCTGGTATTGTTCAGTAGTGGGGGGGGGGCGCTCGCTCGCCCCCCCCACCCTTTCCTGACCTGCTGGGCTGCATGCTTGAATAAGGGTCTGGTATGGATTTTGGGGGGGACTGCATGCCAGTTTTTTTTTAAATATTGGCGTGGAGTTACCCCTTAAGATGTGAACCAGACCTGAAGGTCTTGGTATGGATGAGAGGGGGGACCCCACTCCGTTTTTTTATTTAATTGCAGACCTTTATTTTTAGATTCAGCTGTCAAAATATATATTATCTAGACCTTCGAAATATGTAAAATCATTACAGAAATAATTATAAAGGATAAGAAACAAAAACAGAACCAATAGAACTAAGGAAATCAAATTAGAATACACAAAGATATGCCTAGCTACAAATAGTGCTGTTTGTGAAACACAGTAGACGTGATTGAGTGCCGTCTGTCAGAGGACTCCACACAGAGATTTACTATTAAACAGCATCTAAAAAGAAAGCGCCCACGGCAGACGGCTAAAATTTGTTCTGCACATGCGCATTTATATCCGTGCATAGATGCTGGAAAAGCGTCTAGTTCTTCACTGTCATGACTTCCTTTAAAAAAGTCCCGATATTTGTGAAAGCAAATTTCAATGTGAACATGTTTCTGCAGTGATTTTTCGTTGTGTTAGACGTGCTTCTTAGCAAGTCTGCTTTCTTAGACTGATTCCTGGATTGTGCCTGGTTAGTAAATTCGATTTCACGTCTACTTGTTGACGCTTTCTTTAGTAAATGTCTTTGCCGTCTAAAAGTAGACGGTCGCTATTAAAAAGTAGACGTTAGCCCACAGAAATGCGCCTAGGCACAATAGTAAATCAGGGCCAATGTATCTGTCACACTCTGCCTTAATAGACTCTGGCTACGATCTGCTTGATATGCATTGCCCTTAGGAATCCTGGGCCCAATATCTGTTACTTTTCTATTCTCCTTACCTTGGTCACCACTGGAAGGTGCAGTCTGGAGGAGAGGGGAGGGGTGCTTATTTTTGTTATATTGTTTGTCAAGCATCCTATTGCACCTTACTGATGTATTAGCGGCACTGCTGTGCCAGTTCTATATGCGTCTTGGCTTGAGCCTTGTGTGATTTACTAAAACTGGAGAGTGCAAAATCTGGTGCAGATGTACAGTATATGGTAGCCAATCAACTTCTAACTTCAGCTTGTACAATTAAGCTTTGACAAAAAAAAACCCTGGAAGCTGATTGGTTTCTATGCAGAGCTGTACCAGATTTTGCATGCTCCAGTTTTAGTAGATCAACCCCAAAGTGTCCAATCCATGCCTTGCCTTGCCTGTATGGTGCATCACAAATGTTAAAAATCATCTTCCAGCATAGCTGAGCTCTTTGTGTGTCTGCGAATGCTCTGCCTGTGTGTGTCTGTATCAGATCCAGATGCCGTTTGGCTGTCACCTGCAGAGCACTAGACTGAGAGCCTCAGGGATTGTGGTATCTGTATTGTGTCTTCACAGGAAGTGTCAGTTACCACACTACAGACAGTGGTCATGCATTACCCTGTGCAGTGCCATACCACATGCCTCATGTTTGACCAAAACTGCTGACAAAAGAATGTGAATATTTTCTGTACTATAGGCAGTGTGTACAGGGCAACAAACGACACGAAACTACATGATCAACACACATGCTATGCAAGTAAGAATATTTATAATGCCTGTCACGGTATAGGGGCCTGCCAATTATTAATCCCCTTTTTAATGCCATTAATGCCCTGTATTACATGCCCTCAGCATCCTGCTCTGTATCGTTCCAATTGTCCCCTGTGTCACTCAGCCAAATGGCCTAACTCAATGGCCTAATTCAATTACTGTGGGCCCCCCTCCCTCCCGGCCAGCTGCCCTACCAGCTCGCCGCACACCTCCCAAATTGCCTTTCATCTAGGCCCCCAGGACGTCCCTGTCTCCAGCCTGATTCATCCCTGGGGTCTAGTGTTCACCCCTCCCCTAGAGGTGAGACTTCCACCACCCCATCCTGTCTCTTCCTCTCTGGCAGCCAGGAGGTGGCGAGATTCACACCTCTCCAAGGAGGAGTGCGAACCTCCTACAGGGATTGCCCTGGCTCCAGAGTCTAGCTGATGCCAGTGCTGGCCCAGCCCTGGTTGCCAGTGCTGGCCCGACCCCGGTTACCCACCCCCAGCCTCACAGAGACCCCACAGGAGGGGGGAGACGGCCAGAGACAGCCTGCCTGCCATTGCCAGAGACCCCACAGAAGGGGAGAGACTGTCACAGCCTGCCTGCCATTGCCAGAGACCCCACAGAAGGGGAGAGACTGTCACAGCCTGCCTGCCATTGCCAGAGACCCCACAGAAGGGGAGAGACTGTCGCAGCCTGCCTGCCATTGCCAGAGACCCCACAGAAGGGGAGAGACTGTCACAGCCTGCCTACCATTGCCAGAGACCCCACAGAAGGGGAGAGACTATCACAACCTTCCTGCCATTGCCAGAGACCACCAGCCTGATCCGGACTCCACAGGTACCTGTGTTCCGCTTCTACCCCTGAGAGACCAGGCACCCTGTTGGATCCGTGAGTACCTGCTACCCCCTGTGTTACCTGAACTGTTGCTTTGGTGACCCCTCGCACCCCCCTCCTTTGTCGGACTACCCCTGTTACAGGAACACCCCCTTGGCTCTCCTGGTGGACTATAAGTGGGTGGGGCCCCCTCGTTACTCCTTTTAGTGGCAAATTCACCCTCTCTGCCACCCCCCTTATTGAAGGACTGCCGTCTGTCTCAATAAAACTTTGTGTGTTTGCCATCCACTCTGTGTCCTGTCCTGCCTTTCCTCCGTCACAATGCCTTTAACCAATTTTCAACAAATCAAGGGGTAGTTATCATGGGATGTTGATAAGTAATTGCTGCTATCTTAACCACTTCCAGTGATATATGTGATTTTGCATTTCTGGGTATGGGGCGCACGCTATTTGCGGCCTCAGCTGTCAATCACCGGGTCCTGGCTGGTGATTACTCACCGGCACCCAACGATCGAGGAGCATTACCGACGGAGCAAGAGAACTGTATGTTAAGAATACAGTTCTCTTCCCTGTCACCTCCTGCACACTGTTTTGCAGAGCCATGCAAAGCAGTGTGCTTAGTGAAACACACACACAGACAGCAAAACAGCACACAGTTAACCCTTTGATCGCCCCGCATTAACCCCTTCCTGCCCAGTGCCATTAGTACAGTGTCAGTGCTTTTTATTAGCACTGATCACTGTATTGGTGTCACTGGGGATGTCAGTGACACCAAGTTAGTTCCCCCAGTGTCAGAATGCCCAATGCAGTCCCGCTATAAGTCGCTGATCGCCGCCATTAGTAGTAAAAATTTAAAAAAAAATCCCAGTATATATACTGCCATTTGTAAATGCTATAACTTTCATGTAAACCAATTAATTTACACGTATTGGGATTTTGTTTTAGCAAATACATGGAGCAGAATACATTTTGGCCTAAATTTATTAGGAAATTAGATTTTTTTTAAATTTTTTTTTACTGGAAATGTTTAATAGCAAAAAGTCAAAAATATTGTTTTTTCCTCAAAATTGTCAGTCTGTTGTTTTTTTATAGTGCAAAAAATATAACGCACAGAAGATCAAATACCACCAAAAGAAAGCCCAATTCATGGGAAAAAAGGACGTAAATTTCATTTGGGTGCAGCGTTGCATGACCGCGCAATTGTCAATTAAAGTAATGCAGCTCCGTAATGCAAAAAATGGCCTGGTCAGGAAGGGGGGGGGGGGAATCCTCAGGAGGGTAAGTGGTTAATGGTCTTTGATGCGTCAAGCCCTTGATGGCTAAATGAAGGCTAGGATAAAAATTTGTAACAATGTAGGAAGGAATCTCTCTTCCTCTCTTCTCTGCTGTGCTCGCTCAGGAATGCTAAAGTTGTTTGCTCAGATTTTACCTCTTTATCAGTATGCGTCAGTCTTGCCTTGAGGAGGAATGAGCAGACTCATCAGACCAGCTGTCCCTTTTATCTCTGTCCTACAGCTGGAAGGACAGAATTAATGCTACTGGTCACACGGCTTACGTCACTAAGTTACCCTGCAGTGTGCGCAGTGACATTTGCCACTGAGTCTCAGTAGGAGGATGTATGTAACAGCTGCAAGGGTTATAGCTGCATCTACGTTCTCTCAGCTCATTTCCAAACTACCTCTAAATCAGCCTCTAAATATAAACAGCTGAAAGATGCATTTTAAAACACACTGCACTGAATGAGAAGCATGTTTTATCAGTACTGGTGGGGGTATTAGGGGAGGTATAATTCTGGCTGTAACTTACATTCCATTGTTGGCTGTGTTAAACAGGATTGCTAGGTGCTAAGGGCTGGAAGTGAAACATTTTTGAACATTCAATTCTATTTATACTTTAGTCAGGCATTTTTCATTAACAGGCAGGTACAGTATGTTGGCTTAGCATAGCACACTAGCTTGGTAGGGTCCTTGGTTCAATTCCTTCTGGAGGGGTATGTGCTAGGACACAACCATGCTAGGCCACAACCATGCTAGGCCACAACCATGCTAGGACACAACCATGCTAGGACACAACCATGCTAGGACATAACCATGCTAGGACATAACCATGCTAGGACACAACCAATCTAGACCACAACCATGCTAGGACACAACCAATCTAGACCACAACCATGCTAGGACACAACCATGCTAGGCCACAACCATGCTAGGACACAACCATGCTAGGCCACAACCATGCTAGGACACAACCATGCTAGGACACAACCAATCTAGACCACAACCATGCTAGGACACAACCATGCTAGGACACAACCATGCTAGGCCACAACCATGCTAGGATACAACCATGCTAGGACACAACCATTCTAGTCCACAACCATGCTAGGACACAAGCATGCTAGGCCACAACCATGCTAGGACACAACCATGCTAGGACACAACCATGCTAGGCCACAACCATGCTAGGACACAACCATGCTAGGACACAACCATGCTAGGACACAACCATGCTAGGACACAACCAATCTAGACCACAACTATGCTAGGACACAACCATGCTAGGACTCAACCATGCTAGGCCACAGCCATGCTAGGATACAACCATGCTAGGACACAACCACGCTAGGCCACAACCATGCTAGGCCACAACCAATCTAGGCCACAACCAATCTAGGCCACAACCATGCTAGGACACAACCATACTTGGACACAACCATGCTAGGCCACAACCATGCTAGGACACAACCATGTTAGGCCACAACCATGCTAGGCTACAACCATGCTAGGCCACAACCATGCTAGGCCACAACCAATCTAGGCCACAACCATGCTAGGACACAACCAATCTAGGCCACAACCATGCTAGGACACAACCAATCTAGGCCACAACCATGCTAGGACACAACCATGCTAGGCCACAACCAAGCTAGGCCACAACCATGCTAGGACACAACCATGCTAGGCCACAGCCATGCTAGGACAAACCTGTAGCCAACTCATTTAACCTTAGAATATGTGCATGCCTAGAGAGCAATTACCTGCATTCATACTTAAAGGGGAACTTTACCCATAATAGTTTAACCACTTGTCCTTATTGCACTTATACCCCCTTCCTGCCCAGGCCAATTTTCAGCTTTCAGCGCTGTTGCACTTTGAATGACAATTGCGCAGTCATGCAACACTGTACTCAAATAAAATGTTTAGCATTTTTTTCACACAAATAGAGCTTTCTTTAGGTAGTATTTAATCGCTGCTGGGTGTTTTATTTATTGCGCTATAAACACAAAAATAGCAAAAACCCTGAAAAAAAATGTTTCTATTATAAAATTTTGCAAACACTGCTCTGTGTTGATGAGGCTGCACTGATAGGCGGCACTGATAGACAGCACTGATAGGTACTGATGAGGTGGCGCAGATAGGCAGCACTGATGAGGCAGCACTGATGATGCTGCACTGATAGGCAACAATGATGGGCACTAATAGGCGACACTGATGGGCACTGATGGGTGGCACTGACTGACGGCACTGACTGGCGGCACTGCTGGGCACTGATGGGTGGCACTGCTGGGCAGCACAGGTGGGTGGCACTGCTGGGCACAGGTGGGTGGCACTGATGGACACTGATGGGCACAGGTGGGTGGCACTGCTGGGCACTGATCATCAGTGCCCTAATGATTGGTGCCAATCCCTCCTCTGACAATAGTCGTTTATCGGCAGTACTTTCCTCACGCTGTGACAGTGTGAGGAAAGTGCAGCCAATAACCAGCAACTACATTTACTAGTGATCTGCTGTGCCATTGGACACAGCTGATCACATGGTAAAAGGCTGCTGTGATTGGCCTTTTAACACATAACATGATCAGCTGTGTCAGTAGGACACAGCGATCACGGAGATAGCCGAGGGCATGCGGAGGGCGTGTTCTTGGAGGACTTCATATGACGCCCTCCCAGAACTGGTCATTCGGCTATAGCGCGGTTGGCAAGTGGTTAGTAACAAAAAACAAAATAACATAAATTTAACATTAATAATGCTGCTACCAAAATTAGTTACATAATTGGTAATGTTGAAAAAAGACACCAGTCCATCCAGTTCAACCTCTGCAGGTATGTGTGAGTGTGTGTGTATATAGTGTGTGTGTATATAGTGTGTGCTGTAAATTGACTCCAGCATTGCTCCTATTTCTTCTTGCTGGAGGTCTCCATTTTATTACAGCCAAGAGCAGTAACTCACTGAGAACTCTCCCTTCTTCCTTGGTCTCACAAACTGGGGGGGGGAGTAACCAAAACTGGAGAGTGCAAAATCTGGAGTAGCTTTGCAATAGAAACCAATCATCTTCCAGGTTTTATTGTCAAAGCTTAATTGAACAAGCTGAATTTAGAAGCTGATTGGTCTCTATGCAGAGCTGCACCAGATTTTGCACTCTTCAATTTATAGTAAATTCACCCCTATGTGTCACTTTCTGTAATTAAAATGTGTGCATTTCCAGCTCTGATTGTATATCTTGCTTTTCTCAGCTATAGAGGAAGGCTGACAGAAGCTTTTACAGTGCCGAAGTTCACAGACTGCCAAGGGAGAAAGGAGAGAATATCGTTGCCCCTGAAGATGTCTTTTGATGATGAAATGCGTTGGGTGAAGCCTCCTACTGATATCATCTCATTCCATTGCGTGCCAGTAAATGGATGTTGATGCCGGTTTGGTATCTATATTTTACATGTGCAACTGTTTTAACTTATGTGAGTGTTTTTCTTTGTTGAAATAAATCATTTTAAAGGTTTTACACTATGGAGAGGCTTTCTCTTTCTTGCCTTATGTGAATTTTAGTATGGGAAACCTGCGTATACTTACCTTATTGACAGTGTCCGCTGGATGATACTGAGGTGGTTTGGAAGGTGACCTAGATGTCCAGAGAAAATTACACAAGAGCTTTAGGACCACTCTTGATTTTAAGGGGATCAAGGAAAGTTGGTAAGCGAATATTCTACTATCACTTTGGGTGAAGGTGGCTGTTGCTGAGCACTATATATATAGGATCTCAGGAAGAGGTGTAGCTTCATGTATTTGCACATTCTTGCATGGGACATTTTGTGAACTCATTAAGTTTAATTTTTCACTATAAGTTTTTTTTTGTATTACTATGTATTCACTGTATATCTCTGCACTGTGAGCACAGATTATTTCTGTTTGTATTTGTTTAGCACAACACAGTTATATTTCAAGAATATTGGGGAGATAAGACACTATAAGTTTAACTCCATGGCAGTAGAGTTTGTCCTGTCACCTGATTTTCCTTTCTCCCTCCATAATCTGTGTTCTCACTGCACAGCTTGTGTCATTCCTTTTGTTTCCTCCCCCCTCAGCAGCAGTAAATCTTTAGACTGTCAGTTGTTCAGTCTCTAGTGACTCACTGATTATTGGCATTTTTTTTTTATTGTTTTACATAGCTATACCTACAAAAGGGACCAGCCTTAAGCCATCTATCAGAACTTAATTTTCTGACTAAAGTTCCACTTTGAAAGTGAAAGTCCAAAGGCAGTTAATCTCGTTCTTGATTCTGTACTCCATTGGTGTACAGAACACAACTCAAAAAATGTAATTTCCTGCTTGTGTGATTGGCTCATTTTCCCAGAAGTCAACACTAAGATACAGGTCAGTTTTTAGGCATCATCTGCAACAGAAATTTAATTTATGGTGAGATACTCTGTAAGGGTTAATTACTTAGAAAGGGATGCAGACACTGCTGCTTTTCTAATCAGAACACTGAGAGTGCAGCAGGTGATTATAATGAACTAGATCCCCCCTTTCAGAATCAGTCTGCACAGG